CTAGCTTTCTATCTCTCTCCCTTCCTCTCTGTGAAAAATCAATAAAATATAAAAAACAACAACAACAACAACAAAAAAACCCAAAACAAAAACAGTTTCACCTGGTATTAGAAAATCATAATGCACCACACCTTCCTAATCCCACCAAACAAAGAGCATCTTCTTTCTGAAGCAATTTGGCCTTGCAGTCGATGTTGATGCTTGACCTGGATCAACCCATGATTTTGTGCATTTGGGATTCTCAAAATAAATCTACTATAACCGCTAGTCACAATTCAATGCAAAAAAGACTTTCTTTCATGCCCTTGAAGCAACATTTTGCTGATGACTTTTCAGTTTTCCATTTGTCTTTCATTTAGTTGATGTGGCACCCATTTTTCTTCCTTTAAAATATTTCCCATTGCTTGTAAATGATCAGAAATTGTTTGCTGAGCAATGTTTAATCTTGCTGCAAGTTGTTTTTGAGTTTGACATGCATCTTCATCCAATAATGCTTGTAATTGTTGGTCTTCAAACTTTTTCGGTTGACCTGGACGTTCTTTTTGTCTTTCATATAGAAATAATCACTTTTAAAGCATTTAAATCAGTGTTCACAAGTATCATGGGATGGGGCATGTTCACTATAAGCTTCCCAAAGTATACGATAACTTTTTCTTCAAAATAAAGTAATGAATTAAAACTTCCCAGAAATGCTTTTTTTTTTGCACAAAATTTGACATTTTTAAGCGTAAAAATATCTATGATGTTAATACTTTCAGCAAATTTGACATATGAAGTTTTGAAGCTTGCTATCTATACAACAAAATAGCATACATATCAAATCACATATATATCAACATATGTGTAACTCCATCTGCTGAAAAAAATCCGCATTATTAACTGGTACACCTAGTATGTATTAGGTAGGACTGCTATGTCACCTGGAATTGATAGAATGGCCTTGTATATTAGGTGTCCTGTATGGTCCAGTGGCTCACCCTTCCCAGTCACCTGAGCTGGGCATTCTAGGTGTACCCTTAGAATATGTGCACTGTCTTGTTATAGTTGAGTCTTGATTGCTGTTGGCAACACTGGGAGAAACTGAGCCCCCACCAACTGGCTGTGAGAACCAGCTGCTACTACAGTGGGAGAGCTGCTGTGCAGGAGACACCCCTGTGGAGCAGGACTTGCTTCAGTGGGGCTTTGGTGCTTACCGAGTCTGCCCCTTGAGCATGTCTCTCGTGGATGTGTAGAGTTGTAATCTTGCGTGGTCTGAAGCTGTCCACCAGATGTATTGGCTCTGGGGCCTTCGGGAAGGTGCAGAGTCTACCATTGCCTATATCCTGCCTGGGGCCACCCTGCACAAGCTACAGAGTGACCTGCATAAGGCTGTTACTTGTGTTGAGCTTGAAGGTGCTCAGGAGAAGCCAAACTGTGAACCTTGGAGGATGCTGCTAGTGCTGGGCCTGGGGTTTGCTTATCAAGAGGTGTGGGGCATGCTGAGTCCAGCTGCTACTTGTTTGAGAGATTTTAGAGAAGTCTGAAGCCTGAGCCAGGACAGACCATTCGTACAGAAAAGCCTCTGCAAACAGTTTGGGTAGGGCTGCAAATTGGGTGGGATGGGGATCTCATGGAATCACCATGGAATCACCATGGAATCTCAGGGGGGTAAACAGTGAGAGCCAGTTTGATGAAGAGTCATATATGGCTACCTGGCAGTCATCTTTGTTGCATGGGAGGTCTCAGCATAGGAACAATGATCTCTGCAAGCACTTTTGTCTGGGAGAAAGCTGCCCCCAAGTTCTTGCTGTGATGCCAGGTATTTTAGTTCCTCCCCATATGTCCCTGTATCCTTTCAAGCTGCTGCCACAGTGCTAGTGCTCAGAGGGAGTGAGTCTGATTAAGTCCATGTGCTGGTCCTTTAAGAGAAACTGTCTGGGTCTTTAGCAGTCTCTGTTTCACTCAGACATAGTCCTAGCTGGCCTCCACAGTCAAGATATCCCTCTGGATTAAAAAAAAAATGCCACATGTGGGTGTTAGACAAGTTGTTCCTCACCTTCACTCCTCTTGCCAGTCTTTGTGTGTTTTCTTCTTTCTTTCTGTAATTGTAGGACTTCCATTCAGCCAGATTTCAAGGGGTTCTGAATGATGGTTGTCCTGTATTTTAGTTGTAATTTTGATGGGGTTATTGGAATATCCAAGTACCATGTTTTCACCTGCTGCCATCCTCATGCTTTGAATATTGTAGATGCTGAAATATTACACATCTGATTATACATATATCTGGAGAGAGAGATACTAATATTTACATAGATAATGGTTGTACATAGTTAAAGAGTCAAACCTTAATTCTCAAATGTCTCTCATCTCCAACAATTCAGTTATTGACCAAGTTCATGGAAAACATGTCTCAAACAAAGGAGAGAATGTGCCAGCATCAGTAATTTTACTGCTAATATCCCAGGAAATTGTGCTATGAATATTTTTATGGGTTTTGTTTGTTGCTGGCAAAATGGAAGATTAGCACAATTTTAAAATGTAAGGAGACCATCAAGTGTGCTAATGTTGCTAATGTAGTGAAAGAAACAATGATCATAGGCAATTGAAGAGGCAGAAAACCTGTTGTTGATTTAGATAAATTAGCCAGTGTCAGCAAGCAGAGATGCTGATTGCTGACCTCCTGAAAGACACTCCTGGAAAAAGTGCTGAAAGTTATTCGCTTAAGGCTGGCAGGGTTAGTCTAATAAATTTAAGAAAAGAAGTATTCATTTCTAGATTAAATAATACATTAGACATGTTCTATATATAAGAAAGTTTAAACAGAATCATTTGGGAGGTCTGGAACAAATTAATTCCATTTACATTATTTCTCATGGGGGAAAATGATTCAGTTTTAGAACAGTTAGCTCCTCAACTAGCCTTGCTGTATGAATTAAATTTGAGAACTGAGGTTCTATTCTATACCCTTACATAATCAATTCACAAATACATAGATCTATTATCCTAAAAAAAAAAAAAGTAGGTAAAAGGAGGGTGTAATCTGATGTGGTTACAATCCCTGATATATGAATAAACATAATCAATAGCACCTCCTACCCCTGCTTGATAATATGGCCAGTTTTGGGGAATACAAAGTACTGATACCTCCTCTTATTTTTTTAAAAATATATTTTTATTGATTTTTTTACAGAGAGGAAGGGAAAGAGTTAGAGAGCTAGAAATGTCGATGAGAGAGAAACACCGACCAGCTGCCTCTTGCGCACCCTCTATCAGGGATGTGCCCGCAACCAAGGTACATGCCCTTGACTGGAATCGAACCTGGGACCTTTCAGTCCGCAGACCGAAGCTCTACCACTGAGCCAAACCGGTTTGGGCCCTCCTCTTATTTTTATCTTCCCATGCTTCCTATTAATTTTATCCTATTCCAACTTGAAAGTTGAAACTTGATGCCAGAAATGGCTGACAATGGCCATTTCTGGAAGACAAAAATGGATGGCAATGAGGAATTTTCTGCCTGGTCTGTGATTCCTAAGGTTTTCTGTTTAAATTAAAGAACATGTAGATGGGAGTAGCAAAGCTAGATGGCAAAGAGATTTGAAAGGATTTTATGGAAGTCTGTATGTTTGACATGTAGAAGATAATTTGAAATTAAATGAAGTCTCCCCGCAGAATGAGGGGTATGTTAAATGCTTTCTGTAACAGGGTATATTAAAAGATGTCTTTAATTAGGGTCAAAATAGTGATAGGGATTTTATTATAGAGGTTGCAATCATTTTCATTATTTTATAATAAATGCTTCATGCTTTAAAAGGTGACATAATCATGCACTTTCATCCCCTCTCCCTCTCTCTCCCCACCTCTTTTCTTTGTCTCTCATTTCTTCATCTGTAAGGGGAGGAAACCATTAATAGGTAGAAATGGCTTTTAAAAGGCACTTTCCTAAGGAAACATTATTATTTTTCCTCAATAATGTACTTCATAAAGAGTTAGAGCATAATTAATAGGTACTTATCTTTATCATGCCTATTGCTTGAATGTTTTGAAAGAATAATTATTTTGCAGAGGTGTCCTTAAGCCACCTCTGAGCCAACATTCTTTAGAGTATCCTGGTTGTATTTCTTCTGAACTGTGACACAGAAAACTTAGAGAAATGGAGAAGCTGTTTGGTGATATTCTTCCAAAACATATTGCCTATCCATGCCATTGGTGATGGGTCCTTCTGGTGTCATGTAGTTTAACTAGTATAGTATAATATAGTATAGTATAGTATAGTATCATGTAGTGTATCATATTAATATACTATATTATAATGAAATGTAATTATTATTATTATATTATATTATACCAACTAGTATGTACATAGTTGCTAATCATTATTTTGGAGTACTGTGATTAGAAAACTATCTTAGAAATTGCCAGGCCCTTATAAGTAAAATAATGACTTAAGTCTTAAGTAGTTTGTGGCTTTTTTTTTTAATAGAAAAGGAGTTGAATTGTACTAATGATTCCTCTTTACAATTATTCTGAATTGAAGATCATTTTCTTCTTTAAGGAAAATGTCCAGAAAAGTATTGCTGAAGACTCTTGAAGATAAGAATTGACTAGTTTAGAAAAAAATAACAGTGATTATGTTGGCTTTTCTAGGACATAGGATGTATTTTATTTTATTTTTTTATTGGATGTATTTTAGAATATCCTTATAGCCTATGAATTTTGAGCTGACTTGCCCATTATCTCCAGGTGGCATGTCCTCTAATAGGATGGTTGTCTTAGTTTTATATAAACCTGTTGGAACTTTAACTATTTATTTAACTTGAAGGAGTCTCCTACTGCAGCTTTTGATTCCCCTTTTAGCTGTAATCTACTCTTCTGTGTATTTATATAAAGTAAATGCCATGTAAATAGGAGCCCAGGATAGGGTTACTTGTTCTCAAAAGGTCATCTACCAACTGCAGTTGCTGAGTAAGTGCTCCTGCATCCAGGGATATTTATAATAGTCTTCCTTCCATTTATTTTTGCAGAGTGTAGTGAAGCTGATGAGGGGACTGCTGCACTGCATGATCAGACAGGTATGCTATTGTTAACAGCTCCCTCTCTAATAAAAGTACATTGTAATAGTATTTTTACCCCATAGGGGATGTTCATAATACACACACACACACACACACACACACACATATACTCTTTCACAAATAGTAGACACTAATTTTAGAAAAGTTGTAGAACTGAAGGCAGCAATGTCACCCATGATTTTACCATCCAGGTACCACTGGAATACTTCCTCATGGTCTTTTATATGCCCCTCTGCAAATGCTTTTTAGTATACTTTGCATTGCTGTACATGCAATTATGTATATTGAGTAAAATATGATAGTTTTATAAGCCATTATCTGAAATCCTTGGGGCCAGATAAATTTTAGAATTAAGAGTTTTTCAGATTTTAGAAGGTTCTACCATTTATAAACGATACAGTATGTTATGCCCTCAGCAGGTCCAGAGCAGCACTCTGTTATTAAAAACATTAATCTCTCTGAAGGGAAACACACATTTTCACACTAATAAAATTAATAAAAACTATAAATAGCTCCATATAAAATAAATGTTGGTTACAAACTTAGGGTAAAAATCCTTTATAAGTGTTTCGGATTTTATGATTGGAGATCAGGAGCAAAGGATTTATATCCCCTTGCATTAATTTGCATTTTCTTCATCTTGAGTTAAGTTGAGCATCCTTTCATGTGCATATTAAAACTTTGCATTTGTCTTTAATTAAATTGCCTGTTAGGTCTTTTGACTATTTTTTTTGGACTGTCTCTTTCTTGCCTATTTGAGGAGTTACTGAACATACTGCAAATAATTTTAGCAGGCCATGAGTTATCTTTTAGGGGTTTATGATATTTTTTTTCATTAAAAAGTGTTTTACAAAAAAAATGTGTTTTCCCTTTGTCGTAAAAGAACTTTACATAAGTAGCACACCTTGAATCTGAATTAATTTTCTTGAAACCAATATTTTATTAGAAGAAGCAATTGGGGTCCAGATTAATAAAATGATCACAGTCATGTAACAAGTCTAAAATAAAAGAAATAAGCTCTAGACTTCTAAACTTTTTTTTAACTAGTGCTCTCTCTATGGTTATCTCACAGCCATCATTTCTTCTTTTTTTCCTCCTTTGCTACTTTTCAAATTTTTAGATATTTTCATTTTCTACCTTATCAAATAGGTTTAAAACCACTAATTTAATGAACCACAATTAAAGGTATAATAGTTATTATATATCAGGTGCACACATAATCAAATCTAAGCTTCAGGAACTAATTGTTTTAGTTAGAGTACTACAGAAGTGTGTCATATGGGTTGCTTTTTTGGCAGAGCCTTCTATGACTTCTTTTTTTTTTTTTTTCAGGTGGATAAAGTAGAGTCCTTCAAATACAGTCAGAGTACCCAGGATAGCCTCCATGCCAAGTACAACACAAAAACCTGTGCCACTGTAGTGGGTGACGACCAGTGGGGACACCTGCAATTGGATGCTACTTCTGTGTACCTGCTCTTCTTAGCACAAATGACTGCCTCAGGTCAGTACAAGGACAGAGTAGTGGGAGCCACAGCAGTGTGGAGTACTTGCTCTACCACACGTGGCTTCTCTAGAAAACAACAAAGCTCTTTACATTGCTCAAAGATGCACATTGAAAGCATAATATTTTGCAAGTTTTATAAAGAGAAACAATTTTTTTGAGATCTAGTTGGTATTCTTTTACATTGAAAAACAAGTCTGTGATAGTAGTTAATATTTTTCATTGAAAATAATGAAATTTGGGGTAGATTTTCATTAGATGAATATTTTTATCTTTTATTAATCCTCAGATACTATGAAATGGGTAAGGACTAAGTTTATTGCTTATTCTCATGCTATGCACTGACAAGCCTATAGTTAATATTAACATAACTTGAATCACCTACTTTATACAACTCTTTATCAGTATACAAGAGGCCCAGTGCACAAATCTGTGCACCAGTGGGGTCCCTTGCTGTGGTCTGTGGGGATTGGGCTGAAACTGGCATCCAATATCCCCTGAGGTATATAGTAGTGAGGGAAATGGCAGGCAGCAGGGAGGAGCTGCTCCCACTCATCCTGGCTCCGCTCATCCTGGTCAGCTGAACAGCGCTCCTGCTGTGGGAGCATAATGACCACCAGTGGGCAGCTCCTACATTGCACATCTGCCCCCTGGTTAATGTGTGTCACAGGGCTCCTTTGATTAGTGGAACAGTTGACTGGTCACTTAAGCTTTATATATATATATATATTCATTCTATACACACATATATATACACTAGAGGCCCAGTACATAAAAATTTGTGCACTGGGGAGGGCCCCTCAGCCCAGCCTGTGCCCTCTCGCAGTCCAAGAGCCTTCAGGGGATGTCCAAATGATGGCTTAGTCTGGCTTCCCTCTGTGGGAGGTGACCCCAGTAGGCCTATCTGGGGATGGTGAGCATTCAGGCCCACCCTGAATCGCCCCACTGCTGCCCATGGCCTCTGTGGGAGGCAACTGGGCAGGCAATCAGGATGGTGCTATGCCCTGCCACTGGTTGCTGCCTTCCCCCAATCCCATTTCTGTCCCCTCCCTCTGTTCGCTGGCACACTCCTTGGCTGGCTTGGTGCCACCTGCTTGCTGGCCACACCCCCAACTGGTCATTCCTCCATTTGGTCAATTTGCATATTATACTTTTATTATATAAGATTATGAACAAGGTATCTTTCTCTAGGCAACTAACTTGTATTTAAGGGAATTAATTTAGGAATCAGAATTTAAATGTTTACTTTTTATTATTGAATATCATACCCTTTTTGGATGGTTTTGTTACTACTTTTAGATGCTTTACCTGAAAATGGAAAACATAAGAATCAACATAATTCCCTTTGATTTCTCACAAATTGGGGAAGATAATGAATCTAATTATATTCAGTTTGTAAATAAAACAGGACCTTTACCAGATTTTCCTGAGGTAGTAAATAACACTTGTCACAATACCACATTTTTAATATTTTAATTTCTTTATCTTCCTATCTGGTTACTAAAAGCATTGAGCACCAAGGGCTCCTTGGTACTAAAAGCATTCAGGGTGAGAATTACCCCAGAATATTCTCCTTTTCTTGTATATTTTTGGTAATAAAGCCTCCCCCCACCCTCCGCTCCCTGGACAAACAGGCTGAATAACCTTTTCTTAAAATTATAATATGGCTACCTATATACTCCCTTCTTTTGGAAGGGTGTTTTCCTACTGAATAAATGTACTTTTAGGTTGTACTTATTTAAATAGAATGGCAACTATAACTTCATTTCTAATATCCTTTTAATATCAACTCTGGAATATGTTTTTACAAAGCAAAAAGTGTCTAAATATTCCTTGTGGTTTTGTATTTTGAGCCCAGAAAAGCAGCAGAAATGTACTATAGAGGCTTATAAGACATATATACATTCATGCAATAAATGCCATTTTGTTGGTTCCTGACTTAACATTTGATTTTCAACTCAATTAGTTGACTTTGATAGGTTCTTAGAATAAGGTAGATTATTTTTTTATCAGGCCTTTAAGAAATAAGTAGGAATAAGTAGAAATTAATAAGTCAGAAAAGGGAAGGGAATAGCATGACTATAAGCACAGAAGTTTAAAAGGTACTTCTATGTTTAGAGTGAAAGATAGATATGAAAAAATGGCAAGAGATGAAGCTAGAAAGTTGGGACTAGCTGTTTAAGTGCCTGTGTATTATGCTAAGTAGTTTGGATTTTATATTAGAATCAGTACAGTGCCACTCAAGTTAAATAGTTAGAAAGTTTTAGATGCTTAACTCCATTAGAAGGAGGATAGATTGAATGGGGAAGAAAATTACGTTGGAGGACTATGTATAATAGAAAGTTAGTGAAATACTTTAGGCAAGAAATGATGGAGAACTCATGTAAGGCAGTTGTCTTTAGGATGAAAAAGATAAATGTAAGAGGTAATTTACTGGTAGAATATGAGAGATTTTCATGGAAATTTTAGTAATTCTCTGTACACCTTAAAATGCATATTTTTATTGATTTCAGAGATGAAGAGAAAGGGAGAGAGAAATAGAAACATCAATGAAGAGAGAGAATCATTGATTGGCTACCTTTTGTACTTACCCTACGGAGGATTGAGCCCACAACCTGGGCATGTTCCCTAACTGGGAATTGAACTGTGATCTCTTGGTTTATAGGCCAACACTCAACCCACTGAGCCACACCAGCTGGGCTTCTGTACATTTTTAAATTCTTAAAAATCTCAACCTTTTTAAAAGGAGAGACTTAGAAGTTGACTGCAATAGATCTTCTCTCCAGCAAAATGACCATAAATAATGAAAATTAATTAAAAAATTTATATTCACTGGAAATTGTCCTAAGGACATAAAGCAAGTAGAGAATAGAATCATTTATTCAAGGAAATCAAAATCTTGATAAAAGCAGTGAGAAATTGTGGTACTTGGGGTACCATCTACTCCCTTCCATGCCCCAAATGCATCATGACAGAAGCAATACTCAAAGTGGATATAGATAAGATTAAAAGCTTCCCTTTCCCTAGTTCCCATTCTAGATATATGAGATTTTCCTGAGAGGTTGCCAGCATTCTCCCCAACTCTATCTTGCAGAAGCTGTAGTTTAGCCAAGAATAACTAAGAGATTTGGAATTCCCTATCTATCCCCCAGGCCCACTCATGGAGTAGAAGTTAACACTAAGCAGAGCAGGCCCAGAATAATAGTCCTGGCCCAACTTTCTAGTAGCATTGGGAGAAAAGGCAGGAATAACAGAAAGTTCCATCATCACTCTTCCCAAGAGAACTGACATTATTTGGAAAAGAGTGTGGAAAAGTTGAAGCCTAAAGATACTCACAAAAAAACTAGATTTTGCCTTCAAGAAATGAAGAGGAGGCTGGTAGCTCAATAAGACTAAGAAGCTAATCCTGGCAGTGCTTCTGGAAGGGGTTAGCTTGCAGACACCCCAGGGTCAGAACAGGAGTCCCATTACAAAACCTGAAGAGCTCTGGGTAGGTCAGTTGGTTAGAACACTATCCTGATATGCCAAGGTTGAAGGTTCAATCCTAGTCAGGTAACATACAAGAATCAACCAATGAATACATAAATAAGCAGAACAACAAATCAATGTTTCTCTCTCTGTCTCATTCTCTCTTCCTCTTTCCACTTTTCTCTCTGTCTCTCAAATTAATAAATTTACAAAAGCAACAAGCTAACCCATAGACTATCTAGAAGTTTTTACAGAGAAGGGTCAGCCCCAACCAGCCCTCTCTAGGGTCAGAAGAAGTCTCAAAGATTGGTCTCAAAGACCACCTGAAATTGGGCCTGGATTTAATTAGATGGAACAATTTATGACTCAGGGCACTGTACAATTTAGTAGAACAATCAGCTGGTAATCAGGGGAGATAAACAACTGGGTATACAAGCAGAGGCAGACAATAGATCAGAGAAAGAGACAATTGCTAAAACTGAAACTACTGTCTTCCTGGAGTGACAGTGTTTATGTCCAAGGCTGCACACAACCTCTGAGGAACAACATCAGAGGCTGCATACTTTGGAGAAAATTCACTGAAGTTGTCCAGCCAAGTCACCAAACAAATAAATAAGCAAAGAAAAGCAGTCTCCATAGAGGAGAGAGTATCAATATCTATAGAGTTCCTATAATATATTATCTACAACTAGTGTCCTGGTGCACAAAATTCATGCACATTAAAAGGGGATTAATTAGAGGAAATATTTTAATATTGCTATTTGCCCTTTCTCTATACTATAAGTGTCAGAAAAGAAAGAAAATTAGTAAAATGTATATGAAAATCTTCTTCCTATCAGAGTCTGAGGCACACCATGGGACCCAGAGTCAAGTCCCCGCTCACCCACATGTGCCTCAAAATTTCATGATATCCATACCAGCCAGCCCTCTTTCTCATTGGGCTAGATCCAGACCCAGCCAGTCCCACTCTTGTCAAGCCTACCAGGTGGGGGGTGCAGCCTCAGGTCCCCTAGCCTGGCGCCTGGGTGGGGGACATGGCCTGAGGTCCCCCAGCCTGGGCTGGGATGGGGGGCATGCCATGAAGTCCCCTGTCAAGCCCAGCTGGGTGGGGGGCATGGCCTGAGATCCTCTGTTAAACCCTGCCAGGCGGGAGGTGCAGCCTCAGGTCCACGTCAAGTCCTGCTGGGCAGGGGGCATGGCCTGAGATCCCCTGGCCCGAGGTGAAAGGAGCAGCCTGAGATTCCCTGGCCCAGCACTGGGGTAGGGGTGTGCATCTTGAGGTCCCCCATCAAGTCCCACCAGGCAGGGGATGTGGCCTCAGGTCCCCCAGCCTGGTGCTAGGGAAGGGGGTGCAACCTCAGGTCCCCTGGCCCGGTGCTGGGGTGGGATCACAGCCTGAGGTCCTTCTTCAAGCCCCACTGGGTGGAGGGCATGGCCTGAGGTTCCTCCTGCCTGGCACCAGGGCAGGGGGCACGGCCTCAATTCCCCCAGCCTGGCACTGGGGCCGGGGGCATCACCTGAGGCCCCCCATCAAGCCCTGCCGGGGTGGGGGGCATGGCCTGAGGTTCCCTATCAAGCCCTGTCATGTGATGATTGTGGTCTGAGGTCCCCCATCAAGCCCTACTGGGAGGGGGTTGCGGCCTGATGTCCTCTGGCCTGGTGCCAGGGCGGGGGGCATGGCCTGAGGTCCCAGGTTAAGCCCCATGGGGGCGGGGCACAGCCTCAGGTACCTGCTGATTGCTCATTAAGTCTCATTAGGGGAACTTGGATTCAGCTATGGGGGCAGCCATCTTGTGTTATGGAAACCCTGCTTCTGCTGTGGACGCAGCCATATTGTTTTACAGAAACCCTGCCTCTGCTGTGGGCACCGCCATCTTTGTGGTGGAGTGATGGTCAGTTTGCATATTTCCTTTTTATTATATAGGATAGCAAAAAAATTCAAAGTAAATGCCCATCAAGTAATCATTGCATGAATGTGATGCATCCACACAGTATCTTTAGCAATAAAATGCAATGACGTATTGATATATGCTACTACATAGATGAATCTTGAAAATATGCTAAGTAAAAGAACCCAGACATATTGTATGATTGCATTTATATGAGTGTCCAGTATGATACATCTATAGAAACTTAAAGTAGATTACTGATTGCTTAGTTGGATGTGATTGTTGAAGGGAAATGGGGAGTGACTGCTAATGAGTTTCTTTTGGGGGTAATTAAAATGTTTTTAAATTATGGTGATGGTTGCAAAATACTGCATTCCCTAAAATTATTAAACTACATACTTGAAATGGATGAATTGTATTGTATGTGAATTATATATCAATACTGTGATTTTTAAAAATGAGGGGGTTGAGGCTTAATTTTAGGTGAGCATAAATCAATCTACTGTGGAGTAGACCATTTAGTTGACCTCATTTCTAGAGCCCTGAATGTTTCAGTTTGCTTTATGTAAAACTGCCATCTTGGGCTTTGCCATGTCTTACCTCATTTCACCTCTGTGTATTCAAATGTGTTCTGCAAGAAGTGCTGGGTGGGGGGCATGTCCTGAGGTCCCTTGTCAAGCCCCATGGGGCGGGAGGTACAATCTGAGGTCTCTTGCCCCAGCCAGGTGCCATGCAGCCTCAGGTTCCTGCTGTTCTGGTGTTATGGTGTCCTGGCTAATTTGCATATTCCTCTATTGTATAGATATACTATCTTTTTGTAGCTTATATTTAAATCAATTCTCATCATTACTCAAAATATATAGTTTTAAGTTTTCCTTAGAATCATAATGTTTATCTACTTCTTACTCAGTATTTAGATTCTTTCCAATTCTTTTATGACTTATTTTTTTCCAAATGCCTAGGTTTGTACATTAAAGGACATTATAAATTAGTTATCTATAGAATCAGGAGTCTGAGACTTCCTATTAATACCTACAAATAACAGTTAAAATTCTTCCATGTTAATATCTGCTGGTATCTCACTTAGTTGAAGATTAGCCTAAGACTGATCTGTGATATATTTATGGTTTAAGAATCAAAGTATCTAAGAAGAGTAGGATTACTGGGGAGTAGTGGGGTCATTTATTGTCATTAATAGTCATTATGACTGCCTGTAAAGCCTATAGTGATCATTTGTTATCAGTGGCCTTAGAGTATCCACTGGTGAAAGTAGGGCATCCCTTTCCCTACTGGGTCTGGGAGTCAGGTTCTTATGACATCACTAGAGGCCTGGTGCATGGAATTTGTGCCCTGGGGTGGGGTGTTCCTTAGCCCAGCCTGCAACCTCTTTAATCTAGGACCCCTCAGCTAAACGGGCAGTTGTACATTTCTCTCACAATCCAGGTCTGCTTGCTCTCAACTGCCTGCCTGCCTGCCTGCCTGATTGCCCCTAACCATTTCACTGCCAATCTGATCGATGCCTAGCTGCTCCCCTATTGGCCCAATTGTCCCTAACTGCCCTCCCCTGCTGGCCTGGTCACCCTCAACTGCCCTCCCCTGCAGACCTGATTGCCCACAATTGCCCTCCACTGTTGTCTTGGTCTCCCCCAACTGCCCTCCTCTGCTGGCCTGGTTGCCCCTAACTGCCCTACCCTGCTGGCCTGGTTGCCCCTAACTGCTCTCCCCTGCCAGCCTGATCCCCCTTAACTGCCCTTCCCTGTAGGCTGGTCCCTGCTCAACTGTTCTTCCCTGCAGGACTGGTTGTTCCCAACTGCCCTCCACTGTTGGCCTGGTTGCCCCTAACTGCCCTCCCCTGCAGGCCTGGTTCCCCTTAACTGCCCTCCCCTTCTGATCTGGTCCCCCCAAACTGCCCTCCCCTGCAGGCCTGGTCATCCCAAACTGTCCTCCCCTGCAGGCCTCATTGCCATCAACTGCCCTCATCTGCTGGTCTGATCACCCCAACTGCCCTCCCTTTCAGGCCTGGCTCCTCCCAACTGCGCTCCCCTGCTGGCTTGATTGCCTACAACTCCCCTCCCTTGTTGGCCATCTTGTGGTGGCCATATTGTGACGACCATCTTGTGGCAGCCATCTTGTGTTTACATGGGGGCCACCATCTTTGACCATATGAAGGTGGTCATCTTGTGTGTTGCAGTGATGGTCAATTTGCATATTATCTTTTTATTATATAGGATGAGAAAAAGAATTTTCTAAGACTTGCACGAGAGAATGAGTGATTTTTATTTGCATGGTGTTATATTCCTCCATTTCCAAAGTACCATTTCTCTTAAAGCAGTCCTTGAAATTGTGTATCTGGGGTTCCAACAGAGTGAAAATCGAAGCCAGTGTCCAGAGTTTCTGTTCCATAGTGGAGTTGAGTCCACTGTAATATCAGGCTAGTTCAGTGGTTGGCAAACTCATTAGTCAACAAAGCCAAATATCAACAATACAATTGAAATTTCTTTTGAGAGCCAAAATTTTTAAACCTAAACTTCTTCTAACACCATTTCTTCAAAATAGACTCACCCAGGCCGTGGTATTTTGTGGAAGAGCCACACTCAAGGGGCCAAAGAGATGCATGTGGCTCACAGTTTGCCAACCATGGGGCTAGTTCAAGTCTATTCATTAGTCTATTGTGTCTAGGAACCCCATGCTATGGGCCATGTGGACAAGTGCAGAGCCTGAGAGTCCCATAAGCCAGGAGTCAAGACACTATCAACAAGGAAGAGAGAGCAAGAGGAAACCCCTTTGTTTAGGATGTTAAATATAAAATCTTGCCTTGCTTTCAGTGGCCATGTCTACACACCTATTCTGGCCGATGCCCTGTTTCCAGGTATAATTGATGAAATATAGTAGTAACCATTCTTGGGTAAAAATTGCTGTTTAATATTTTAACTTTGCTGTTTTGGGTTCTATACTCATTTAAAAGTTATTTTGATTTTCTGAACTTATGTATGCTATCCCAATACTCCAATGATGATGGTTTGAATGTCCCATTGATTGCGATCTCACTGGCCATCAAAGCACATTCTTCTCGGACCCAGGATAGCTCAATTATCCTAAATTGTCTCAGTAGTGACAGATAACTGAGTTTTGGTTGACTCAGTGGTCTCGAAATCTGGACAGCACAATTATTTTAAATTTCTCCTGTGGTCCCAGATAATGTGTTTATTATTATCCAGCCTTCCCTGTGCTCCTTTCCTGTTAATTAATTAATAACTACATTAATTATAACAGTATCACATTGACCACCTCTTTGTCTTTATTTTCTTTTTTCTCAGGACTTCATATCATCCACAGCCTAGATGAAGTCAATTTCATCCAGAACCTTGTGTTTTACATTGAAGCTGCATATAAAACTGCTGTAAGTGCTCATTTGGTAGTGGATTTTAAAGATATGGTGATTTTAAAATTCTGGACAACTGATTCTTTCTCTTATAGCTGTGGTCGGCACCTGTGGCTTTTTGGCCCCTTGAGTGTGGCTCTTCCACAAAATACCACAGCGTAGGCGAATCTATTTTGAAGAAGTAGTGTTAGAAGAAGTTTAAGTTTAAAATATTTGGCTCTCAAAAGAAATTTCAATCGTTGTACTGTTGATATTTGGCTCTGTTGACTAATGAATTTGCCAACCATTGTCTTATAGCTACACCTCATTGTGAACTAATCTGTAATGCTTCTGGCAGTAATTATCTTCAGTCTCTTTCTTTGTTAAGCTCTGTCATCTTCTGTTTGTCTTCTCCCCAAGGGAGTTAAGAGAGTCAAGATGCTATGTTTTCATTTCTTTCAAACTGTATAATATCTGATGGTATGTATTTAGTAATCTGGAGTCTTATTGTAGTCTTATTGTAATGACTTATGGTCTTAAGCAGGAGCAAGATTGCTAGGGAGTATTATGGGCCAGTTAGCTACTTAGAAATAGCATTTCTATGTGTATAATAATATTTGTAGACATTGATTGATTCAGTATTTACAATACAAAATAGTTATTTTTTTCTTACAACTACTATATGGAATAAATTTATATTAAATCAAAATATTTAACATCTGTTCTCTCAGGGATCACTGTTCTTCATTACTTGATATTCACTGTATTGAAAAATGGATGTGTCATAAATAATCCAGTTTTTTAATTTAATTGCTTAGTTTTTTAGTTGTTTTAGGTGGGAGGGTAAATCTGGAACCTGTCACTCTATATTTGCCAGAAGGGTAAGTGTAACATAGACATACTATAACTAGACAATCAATGGATCCATACTGCATGTCACTACTTGAGTCAGTTAGACAGAGGCAGGGTTGAATCATATATGAGCATTTATTCTGTTAATGTAAAAATAACCATTGAAACCTATAAAAATTTTTTGTGAGTTTATTTGAGCCAAACTGTTGACATATGCTGGGAAACAGAACTTCAAGGAATTGAGATAATGCTCCGGAGAATGGCAGGTTACATTTATATTTATATTTTGCAATCAAAGGAAGGGACATGGGTGAGTTACATGAAATCCACTGGTGATAGAGTAGAGAGGCCTAAGAAAGCAAAGGCCGGGGGGACCCCTGGGATTGGATTAAAAGTAAAATGATGTACAGTGTACATTGTATACATACTTAGGTGGGTGCAGGAACAATTAACATGATAATAATGAAGGAATTTGTAGTATGTGTCCTGACGCCCAGCACATTAGGTTGTGCCTCAAGGGGTTCAGAAAAAGGGAAGTTACAAGTTACCCAGACATTTCCAGGGTATATTATTATAGATGCAAAAAGAGAGATAGGCTCAGTTAAGGTAAAGGTTGATCTTGTCAGTGAAGAAACCAACCTAGTATGTAATTACCCACCATAACTGCTTTTAGTTAAAGTTTAATTTCGGACCATCCTTTGTGGTTACTTTAGGTCTCTGAGTTTGCAAGACTGCCATGCAGGCCTTCCTTGAGCTTGGCAGGTTAGCATGTGGCCCCTTCCATCCACAATTCCAATACTGCCAGCAGTATGGGGAGAGCAGAGATCATCCACAAAAATCTGTTGCCCCCCCCCCCCCCCCCCGCGCCCCATAAGCCAGCTGCTTATATTGGGTCAAAAGGACAAAAGATTACATTGGAAAGTAGCCAAAGGGTATACCAAATCGGCAGTTAACCGGTAAGCAGAGAGCTGGGCATCTTCAAAGGGCTTAGTGATATGCAAGGGCTGGGGGTCTTCAAAGGGTTGGTGATTCTGATTTCTGCAGCAAAGTTATTAATCTTTCCATGATAATAGGCAGCTCCAAATGGGAGGATGGGATGCATTTCCAGGTGAGTTCCCAGGACCCAAGTGCAGCTGCCAGCAGCCTTCTTTAATCAGAACAAAACAATCACATTTAACAGAGAATGATTAATATTTCTTATAATTCTAGCTGGTTCCCCAACATTCTATTTCTGCCCCTATCAATATTTGATGCAAACAGACATTATTTGTTGACTGATCACTTTGCCTTCCAATATCATAGGCCTGGGTACAAATTTGTACTCTGTAGTCCAGGGTAAAAATTAGAGTTCTCTTTCCTCTCCATTACAGGTAAGGATTGCAGCAGTAGAATTAATATGTGTCTTCTGAGAGTCTAATCTCTACTGCACATTCAAGGGTACAGTTTGGGGCAGGTCAAACTAGTTATGGGATAAATATGGTTTACCTTTCTAAAGCTTTAACTCAGAGATCTGGCATAAAAAGTAATTTAAGATGCATATGGAAATAAATACAGGTGCGTAAGGTATATTGTGTGTAAGTGTGTTTGCATGTACATGTATGTATGTACATGGGTATGTTCAAGTTCTATTTAGTGAGAGGGTCTAGAAGCAATAACATCATAGTGACAATGAGCACCATTATTCAAGTCTTTTTAAAAATATATATTTTATTGATTTTTTACAGAGAGGAGGAGAGAGGGATAGAGAGCTAGAAACATCAATGAGAGAGAAACATCGGCCAGCTGCCTTCTGCACACCCCCTACTGGGGATGTGCCCACAACCAATGTACATGCCCTTGACCAGAATCGAACCTGGGACCTATCAGTCTGCAGACTGACGCTCTACCACTGAGACAAACCGGTTTCGGCCATTATTCAAGTCTTGTATTGTAACTATAATTCTCTAGTAAAAGAAACCAAGATTTCATATAGTCAGTTCCTGGGTTGGTATATAAAAAACACAAGATGAGACTGGAGCATCATGTAGTGACAAAAGTGTGGAAGTGTTCAAAAAGAATAGGGCATGTCAAACCTGGAAGAACTCTCTAAGGCCAAACTTGGAACAATTCCAGCAACAAAATATTTTATTACAACCAAGAGAAAAATCTAAATATTCATAATTTCCTACTGATATAAGTGAACAACTGAATATCAAAATAGGGGAGAAATGATAGTTCCTCCTTAATGATGAATTACAAAGGTAAGGAAGGAACTAGAAAATCACCATTGAAACACCACTAATGTTGCTGGCAGGACTCACAGTAATGGATGCTGTCAACTGATGATCTTGGCACCAATTTAACGGCAATGGGAATCCCCAGTTAAGGGTGCAGTGAAGAAGTAAACTAGTGTTGTTCTGACATTAATTTATTAGCTTTGATAGTTGTACTATGGTGATGTCAGGTGTTAACATTAAGGAAAGCTGAAGTAAAGATTTATGGAAACTCACTGTACTATTTTTGTAACTTCTCTGGAAGTCTAAAGTTATTTCAAAATAAAGTTTGTTAAAATTAATTTTAACTGTTATCTTTATATTTTCTAGGGGCCATATAGAGTAATGGTTAAGAATGTAGGCTTTGGATCAGAGTACTTGAACTGTAATCCTAGCTTTGTCACTTATTAGCTGTGTGTCCTTGGGTGAATCACTTAACCTCTCTTTGCAGCTCAGTTTTATCATCTATAAAATATAATGATTAAGGAAGATAATAGTGTAAAGTGCATAGGTGAGTGCATAGTATTTTCAATGCCAATATAGAATAAAATTAGAATGGATAGTTAAAATAAATACCAGGGTGTGGTTTAGGCTCCATTTCTTAGAACCCTTGGGTATCTGCTTTGGTGGAAAAATTTAAGAAGTCCCTCTCTAGATGGACCAAACTGCAGTTCTTAGTACTGATCAACTGTTCAGGAGTCTCCCAACTTCTTGGAAGCCCCACAAGAATTTAAACTTACTGGGCAACGCACCTCATTGGTATATCCTTAATCAGCATTGTAGGTACACATAAGTATGCCAAATTTGCTACTATATGTGCCTTTTATTCAAGGGTTGTGCATCTAGTAAGCATTTAGTAGTGATGACTTGCTAATGTTATGTTGGTTATTTTATGGCAGGACTTCGGTATATGGGAACGTGGAGACAAGACCAACCAAGGGATCTCAGAATTGAATGCCAGTTCAGTTGGAATGGCCAAGGTAATTTTCCTTGCTTTGTTTGTCCCAGGTATGGGGTAAGGAAGTCTAGTACACCTTTGCACTAGATAAAGGCTTAATGTGAATATGGACCATTGTCAAAATAATTGTTCTTTGAAACCACAGGTACAATTCAGATTCTACCATAGAACTGTGAACATATAGGTGAGGACATCTTTAATAAGCTCCAGATTTATATATCCAAATTAGTTTTGTAGCTTATCTCTACCTACATATCCTACAAGGACCTAAGAGAACATATCTTAAAGTAAACTCATCATCTCTACTATTCCAAAAACCAAAAAAAGAGGTCTTTGGTCCTTCTGTACACCATTTGACAAAGCTTGATATCATGGAACCATTTCTCTTTATTGTTGTTGTTGTTTTTTTAATATTTATTGTTGAAAGTATTATAAATAGCCCCAGTTTCCCCCCCCATTGACCATCTCCTCCCCACTCCTAACACCTCCCAGGCCTTCACCACACTGTTGTCTGTGTCCATGGGTTATGCATATAAGTTCTTTGGTTAATCTCTTCGCGCCTCACCCTCCACCTTCCCTCTGAAAATTGTCATACACTTGTTTTATTTCTGGTCTTTCAATTCTGTTCCATTGGTCTCTGTCTGTTTTTCTGCTAATACCATACTGTTCTTTTTTTTCTCCTTAAATTTAGAAACAAATTTTATTTAAGATCTAAAATACAATTCTTAAAATTCAACTTCTCCAGAAAGCTCTGGCTACACAATAATACATTGCTCTATTGTTACAGAATTTACCAGGCAACTGAAAAATACACAGGGAGTACTCAGAGATCCAGGATAAACCCATTTATTTTCAGATGTTTCAGATGGACTAGTACAATGACTCAGTGGACCAGTTCTCCAAATTCTTGTTTGAGTGAATATGGAGGAAGTTTTTCGTTTATACCCTTTGGATCAGGCTTCTGAACCTTTCTCGGGCTTTGTAAAAAGCCCCATGTGTTGGGATGGGGGACTGGAGACCACATTCAAAGGCCTGGCCTGGCGCCAACACTGATAAACTCCATGGGTTGTATATGGTTTATGTTTTATTGCCTCTGTAAAATGGGAGTATTTAGGTAAATAGGTCTTGCTAGACCAGATTGTTCAGAAAGGAACAGTAACTTAATTAGATGCTATCAGAAACATACATTAGGTTACTGGCACAGATTCAGATTGCTATCTCCCCCCAAAATGCCTCATATTCCTTATCATCCAGCCCCCCCCCCTTGATCCTCAAGCTGATTTTCAGCCTTGGGGATTCAATAGAAGACTCAAACCTGGGGAGTAGGGTGCTTAGCAGCTGAAGTATTTTTCACCACCACCCAAGGGATTGTAATGGCAGTCCAGAGATCTGGTCTGGAGTAACATCTGGGGCTTCAGGGCATACTGATTCTATCCTCCCTTGGAAGAAGGGAGAATAAGTCTACACAGGTTTCTTCATTTCTGGCTTCAAAGTAGTTGAAGTGGTGAGAAGCACATCTCAGGGTTCCATCTATTTCTTCCCATAATCCTTGCTCTGCTCATGTCTGTCTAACTGCCTAAGACATTCCCTCAAGTATTCTGGCTTTGAATTCTTTTAGGGAAAATGGGTGTTGGTGGGCTTCACTGGCTATTTACATGCTGAAGAGGAACAAAGTTTTTTTCAGAGCCAAGAGATCCTTGCTCTCTCAGAGGGATGATGAGCCTGGGCACAGAAGGAGGTAGACTTGTGTCCTAGCGGAGACAAACTGTATTATAAAATTTAGTATTTTGAACAATTAGAACAGCAAGAGTTACATCAAATGATCTGGTGGAAGGCAAAGAAAACATTTCAGTTCTAATATCTCCTATTGAAATAGAATTTTTCTCCTTAAAATCACCCTTATGTTTATTAAAGAGCCAAATTAAGACCAATTTATCTATTGCATTCAATTTGACCTGATGGTTTGCATAAACACAAGAATGATAACTGACCACCTTTGCTGGAATTTCATGATTGAGTCTCAAGGTGCCACAAAGGACTGGGAAGCTAAGCCATCCAGCTGCCACCAGGCTTGCCTGCAGCATCTGCTGGGTTAGGTGAATTCCTCATCAAGATCTGTACCTGCAGTGGCTCCATCCAGATTTGCACCCTAGGCTTCAAGACCCATCTCAGCAGCCCTCCTACTTGTTGTGGCCTAGAGAGCATGGGGGCTCCCTAGGGACACAGAGGTACCCTGGTTACTTCCTTTCCACTCTGACCAACTGCCATCAATGGAAGAGTATGGGCTTGATGTTCTAGTGCCATCCATTTTCAGGTTATCAAGCAAGATACCATGGTTGCTTTCTCCATGGCACTCATATTGGCTTCAAGTCTTCAGAGTCCAGACAGACTCTCTAAAACATGACACTCCAGTCAAAGTTTTCAGTCAATAAAACCACCACTGGAGACCAGTCTTATTGAATTTATGCAAAGAAATGGATTGCCATGATTCATTTAGTAAGAATTGCCAAATTTTGGAGGGATCACATAGGGAGATAAATATACTAAACTGCTTTAAGATCTTCTGATTTTCCTTGCCTGTCCTTTCCATGGACTCTTCAGAAGATGTAATATTTTCCCAAATGTATTATAACAAAATAGTAACTGTCACCAAATGACAAGAAGAAAATTAAAATGACATGGTTAGAGATTTCATTATAGTGCAAATGACATGGAATGTTGTCCTTTCTCTAAACCCAACATTCTATCTACACTAACAAAATAGAAAGATGCAAATTGACTGTACCTTCATGATGCCTACCAGCCAATCAGGAGTGAGTATATAAATTAACCCAACAAAGATGCTGAGTGGCCTGGAGGCGGGGCAGGAATCTTGTACCATTGCCATGGCGACAACACAGGCATTCCACACCACCCCAGCCACTCTGGGCCTCTAGGCAAAGTGGGAAGGTGGAATGTTGGCTCTGGCCAGAACAAAGGTGGTGCTGGCAGCCAGGAGAAGGAAGGCCTGTTCTTGCATGAATCTTTTTGCATTGTGCCTCTAGTAATATTAAAGCTAACTAGAAGCTCAATGCATGAAATTCGTGCAAGAGTAGGCCTTTCTTCTTCCAGCTGCCAGCACTGGCTACCTTGTGGCATCTGGGACCTGGGCTTCCCTCGCAGCCCCAGCTTCAGGGCATCCAGAAGTACATCTGGTATAATTAGCATATTACACTTTTATTATTAAAGATAACCATTAGTTATAACTGTTGACAAAGGTTCCTATGTACCTTCAATATAAAACTTTCCTTCATGAGAAAGAAAACAAACATTTGAGGCATTTCAGAGCCTATTGGGATGATCTAAAGCCAATTCTAGATCAAGAAAGAGTTTCTTAAAATTCAAACTCTTGAAGGATTGTCAAACTTGATTTTACCAAAAGATTATATATTAAAGTGTATTAGACAGAAACATAGGCTAGCAAACTTCAGTTCCCATGATTAAAAGATGGTCCTTTTTTTAAATTAAATATCTGATTAATATAAATGTTTTATTAGAAAATACTAACCAAAACGAGGCTTATTTTCTAACTTCATTTGTCCTTGGGTGTGGATAGCAAATGACACTAATTGGATTTCTCCCATGTCTCCCTGAGTACTTTGACATAAGCTATTTACCCTTTGTTCAGGGAGGCAAAATACAAATCATTGACTCTTAAGTGTTCTTGGTTTAGGGAAGATAGAGTTTTCTAGGTGGTTGCAAATTTCTGTTTTAATATCTGTTTCCCTGTTCTGCTTGTCCTGGCTTACTGGCCTGTACCATTTAATCAGTTTCCTTTTAACATTTTTTTCTACAAACTTCCTATAACTTCCACAGACATTCTTACAACTTTCAGAAACATTACAACTTTCAGAAATAACTACCTTTAGAAATCACCTTCTTTTTCCTTCAAAATGTATACCCATGCCTCAGTCCTTCCATTAAGTATTTCTACTCTAATATTCTTTCTTTCTGTCATACCTTCAGCAACTTGTACAGACTTTTCCTTTCTTTTTCCTCCTTTAAAATGTATTAGAATTCTTCACTCTTAGAAATCTTAATTTTTCAATGATAACAAAAAAGTAAACAGCCAAAAAAAAGTAAACAGCCAACATTTCGTAGATTAACATTTATGAACACACTTTAAATGCACTCTTACTTTCAAGAAACTATACCTTCAACGAAGTATAAGAGACTTTCTGTAATATAAACTAAGAGCAGGCAAATTAAAACGTGTCTAGCAGTTAATGTTTCAGTATTTTATGTTATTTTAAAATATTAAGATGTTTATTATTTAACCCAATAATGATACAAAGTCTCTTAGTTACCAAAGACTTTGTAAAATTATGTATATGCATATGAGGCTGGAGTAAAGGCAGGGAGAGGAGGAAGCAAGCCCAGCATCCTGTTCTTAGCTTCTAGTGGCTTGGATTTAAACTGTTACAATCTTCCTCAGAGATAACATGCTAAGGTTACTGTTGTGGCTTCTGTTTCTGGCCCTCTGGGCCAGCCCTTCTCTAGGCCATTTGTTCTACAGTTGTGAACATTATGTTAGTTTTTAGTTTTTTGTTTTTGCCTTTCTTCTTTTTATCTACATAGATCTTCTCAGCCTCTTTTAACAGCTCTTCTGCACTTCTGTCCTTCCAGTTCTCTAACTTTGCAGTTTTCTTGAGATGTCAGGTCAACTGGAGACAAAATGCAATTTTTAATATTTCTTGGCCCAACAGGTCCTCAGGGTCTGGCCCAGAGTACTTTCTTATTTGATCTTGTAGTCTTGGTAAATTTAGAAGGCCTTTCTTCTTTGCCTTGCTGAATATTGAAGGCTTTATTTAGGTTCTGAGTCCTACTGGGGCTCCCAGGTTTGGAAATCTTACATCTGCTGGAAGCACACCAGGGCCAGCCAGGTGCTCCCTTTTTTCAGATAGCCATAGCCGACTTTCAAATCATTCCTCCTTCTTTTCCTGAGAATGGTATTCCAAAGATAGACATTAACTCAGGTCTACA